AGCCAAGTGCATAAAATTTATCTTGAAAGTAAAAATATAGATTCAATTTTAACCTTAAATCGTTTCTGAATTAAGCTATTTTCTGTTATATCACTAACGTTTTTAATAAAAACAAACAAACCTATTTAATGAACAGAGGCTCTAAATTAAGCAAGCAACAAATATTTTTTCAGTTTTGTTGTCTATACATTTCATTTTATACTTTCAGTACATAGGATAACAAAAATATTATGTTATACTTTTGTTGCTAAGCGACATGACATAAAAGCCATTGTTGGAACGTAGTGTTACCAAAATACACTGGCTTTTCTATATATACTAGACGTTCTTAATTAATCTAACTTATTTTTACCAATAATTGTGTTATGAATATGCCACGAATGTATTTCATGAATGATCTTAATTTTAATTGGGTCACAAAAGAATTTACCGACGTTTGACTGCCTCGACTGCATTTCTCTGTCTCTTTGTTCGTCAAGCCTGATTTTGCAAAATTTATTTATTTCAGTTGGCTATTAAATGTGAGGTTAGGGTATACTGTGGGATGGGGATGGGAGTTGTAGTACTTGCTCCGTTATTTTTGATGGACTATACGCTAGTATATTATAGAGTAGACGTGCGCTGAACACATTTTAAAATATTTGTGGAGGACTCTAAATGTTCAGTTTTCTAAATTAAAAGAAAGAAAGAAACACCTAGTATGTTTCACATATAACATTATGACAACTGTAACTAAGCTTCTTCCATTAAAATCTATGTGTGGTGCTTTCGCAGTTGATTTATATTGTTTCCCTGTTATAGACAAGAATGCAATATGATGTCACTGAAGTGTCATGACTCAGAAATTTTGACAAGTAGCTTAACATTATTGTGAGTCACAGTTAAAAAAAAGGTGGACTTCTAAGCAAAAACTATGCTGCTGATTCCTTTTTCCGTTTAATTAAGAATCTTAAATATATAAGAGCCACAGAGATAATATAGGAATTCGCAACTTAATGATCAGGATAGTTAATCCTTAAGTATAAAGAAACAAAATAAACCGTTAAGAGGCAACCATTTTCCAATTGGATATCCAGCTTTGATTATTTTATTATTTTTCTTTTAGTTGGGGAGATCTTTTGATCCGGAGTCCCTAGGCAATTGCTCCCATTTTCTTCCAGTTAATCCGGCCCTGATTATTTGATGATGATTTGTACATCTCTCTATGCCACGAATTTATCTAAGTGCAAATGTTTAGTTAAAATATGAAATACAACCATCAGCTTACTAGAGTTCTTGTGTTCAAGTTTCAATTTATTTCTTTTCCAGGTGAAATCATCAAATATAAGGGAGATTCCTTTTGGTCTTGGGCCCTAATAAATTTGTGATTTTATTTTGATAATTATTTCTAAATCACAGTCTGCACTTAAAATTTCAATTCACAAAATAAAAAAATAATAAAATCGACCAACAAGCTAAAAGATTAAAAAATATTTCATTATTGTTTCCAACTTTTCTTGCCCTTGTCTTGTTTTATTAGGAGTTAGTAAGTTTATAATAAGCATTGCGTAAGTATCAAATACTTTAATTGAAATTATTTTCATATTTACCATACTAGTAAACCATTGTCTGAAAAAAATCTGTAAAGTACCAGTAAGCTGTGACACAAATATTTGTTCTTAATTTGAAGATAAACTCAAAGCGTAAAATGTATGAGAAGTCTTTGTTTTAGAATTTCTACGCAAAGCTAAAGGTCCCCCGGTAGGACAGCGGTAAATCTTCGGATTTACAATGCTAAAATCGGGAGTTCTATTCCCGTCGGTGGACACAGCAGATAGCCCGATGTGGCTTTGCTATAAGAAAACACACATACATACGCAAAGCTAAAGAAAGGGATATATGCATATAATCTTCCCCAAGTTTTCACTAGTAGACTTGAGAGAAGGTGGCGCTAGTCAACAGCGTCTATGGCCAACTTTCGGGCTACTACTGTTTGTCCAACGAGTAGAATTTGATCGTCACCTGTATGTTCCCAAATCGCAGAACGAGTTTTTTTTCTTTGTTGTTTTTGCGGCATTGGGACGAGAACCACGAATCCTTGGATTCACAGTCCAGGTACGCTTATCATGGGGGTCACGTCTGGCTTACATATGAGTAACTAACTGATCAGTATCAATTGTATATCGACTCATAATTCCACAACTTATATTTTATTGTTAAAAGTATGTGTCAGCATATTCAATTGATGAAAATATAAACCTCAAGTAAATAACAAGAGCGACAATTATTCTAAAACTGATGTAAATAGATTTTTAGATAATTTTGTTTTGTGATTTAATACATGTAGAATTGTAGTCTACTATGTGGACATTATATAAAAATACTGTGCGAGAAATGTTTGTTTTGTACAGCAAAGCGACAGTGGGCTATCTGCTACATCCACCGCAGAGCATCGAAGCCTGAACTTTAGTGTTTAAGTCCGTAAACTTACCATTGTCCCAGCGGAAAACTACGAGAAATGAGAATAACACCTTATCAGTTTTATACTAATATTTTTGAACAAAGTACTATTTGAAATGGGCCATTAATTATACCATTAATGGTGGAATTATTTAATGTGTAATGTAGAATAGACGGTAAAATGAACATAGTATTTTATTACACCTCTTCAGTTTTTTTGTGATAAAACACAATTAAAGGTGATGAATTATTGATACAATTTACAAAAACTACATTTCAATAATTGATTATTTCATTTTCATTACAGGTTTTTTTTCTTGGGACGTAAACAGAGTGGGTTGTGACTTAACGTGTCTGAAAGATGTTTTTAATTCAGATTCTAGCTCAGAACAAACAGAAGGTAAAGTAATGCCATGATTTATATTTACTTATGATATAACTTGGTTAATAATGACTTTTCATAAAATTTGAAGGTTTTAATGTAAAATTGATGTTTGAAATTATCATGATCATGTTCATTGTTTAATATCAAAGTTTCTCACTTAAAGTTAAAAAATGGAAAACTTTATAGCTTTTTAGAGGAAATATGTAACATAATGTTATTTATTAATTATAAAAATTATCATTTCTTACTCTATTGTTGTTGTCTGTTATATAACGTTTTCTATTTCAAATTATGATCTCAGCCAATATTACGGCAACAAATGGTCTTTAATAACCATGTAAGAATATTAACAACTATTAACTCTAACTATATTCAATCATTATTTGATTTATATAATGCTAAGATCAAGATTTTTTATTTCTATAGGCTTTTTAATTCAGTATTCAACAGAAGCTCTGGCAGTAGAAGTGCTCTTAAATCCGAAAGTTAACATATTGAAACGATGCATAAAAAACGTTCTCTCCTCGGTGACTGCTCATAAACACATCATTCATGCCGGTTATACTTTCACTGAATCCGGATCGTGGATCCTTCAAGACGGAGTGTTTAGTTTCCAAGACTTCACTGATGCCTTTAATGATCACGGTGTTCAGCAAGTACTTACAAAGATTCCCGAGAGTTCTGTTCACGTTCATTGTATAGCTGAGGGAGACTGGAGTGAGAAAAATATTGCTGGAATCACGGCCTGTGTTTATCTCAATCCCCCTGAAATAATGTCTTCCTTTCCTGACTGTCATGATCTTTTAGAATATTTGAAGCCTTTTTTGATAAGCCAACCTTTGGAAGAAATAATGAAAGCTTCTGATGTTGTGGGAAACATTCGTTTCAGCAGACCAACTTTGTATATTTTTCCTGGAGGAGATGGGAACTGTGCTTTATTTGGTATCAGAGGCTTTAATATATTAATTGATGGTGGTTTTGAGAGGAAACCAAGTTTCTGGGAGTTTGTTCGGCATATTGACACACTTGATGCTATGATGGTTACGAGGTTAAATCAGACTAATCTTAATGGAATTACTTCTTTGATCAAGAGGAAGCAGAAGGAGCAAATTTTCCCAAACATTCGATATGTTTTCTGTAATATCATGGATGAACCCCAACTTTCTTCTGGTGAATTTCCGAAAGTTAAAGAGGATCTTCTCATCAGTGTTTTTGATGAAATTTATGAGTTATTGAATAATCTAAATAAGTTAAACCTAAAACCACATCCTTGCTATCGAGAAAATGGTACCTGTCCTTTGACCTTGTATCACAAAATGGGTCACGGTACGCTGGATATGCATGTTTTACACCCATTGAAACACACTAAAGGAGTAAAAGAGTTTTTTGAGCAATGGAGTTCGAAGAAGGATAGCTTTACGGATACTTCTCACGGTGAAATTCCAGTCCCTTTATCAGATTTAGCATCAATATGTGTTCTTCTAGTGTGGCGGCCTGCGAATTCTAAAGATTCTGTCACCAGAATTTTAGTTACAGGAAATACCCCACAAACACAAATTTTTGAAGGTTTAGACAAAATGCAAAATCTAAAAATTTTGCACAATGTCGATTGCTCTCAGACTGTATTGCAGAAAACTGTTGTAGATAAATCTAAGCACACTAAGAATGTTGAAAAACCAGTGGCTAAAGCTCCTTCGAAGCCTAATGTCTCTTCGTCTTTTGCACAACAAAAGAAAATAGCTCAAAAGACCCATGTAGCAATCGGCAAGAAGGATGGCATTAATATGAGCAAAGCCATGCCAGAGAAGAGCCCGATTTGCACCGATAAGGTTTCAGCAAAGAAAAATACTGAATCGAAAAAACTGGATACAAAATTCAATGGAAAAACGCTTGAAGGAAAAGGGGATACTCTGGAAAAAACTGGAAGGCCTTTCAATAAAGTGGAAATAGCACGACGTTCAGACGTCAGTGTGAAAATATCATCTAATACTGAAGGAAAAAATAAAGGAACTATAGATGGAAGTACTAATAAAACTATAGAGAAAACAAATGTTAGCAGAAATGCTAACATTGAAACAAATATGAAAAAAACTAAAATGACAACAAAACTTTCACGATTATCAAAAGAAATCACAGGGAAATCTCCCACAACTTCACCAAAACATTTGAAAAAAACGCCTGTTTCAACAACGAAACAACTGGATGTGAATACTGAAAATCAAAAAAGTGACAAAATAACCTCTGATGAAGAGGAAGGAGTCAAACAAGATGTATCGAATTTAGTAGACTTAACAGGGTTAAAAGCAGGAAGTTTGGACACTGAAATGGACCAAGACGACTTAACAGTCCCATCAACTTTCGAAAATATAACTCTAAATAATACATCATTTGAAAAAACAGATAAATTCAATGCTGAAGATCAAGGATTGGCCAAAATTGAAATTAAACTCAGCGAAAAAGCACAAGAACTGGTCCGAGATGAATATACATCTAATAGAAACCAAGACATTTCAAAAACTGGAATTTTAGCCAATCACCAAAACCAGAATCTTACCCAAATAGAAATTGCTTTAAGAAAAAACGAACAAGGTCTCATTAAAACTGAAAATGTATTTTATGATGAAGACCAAATGTTAGAAGAAGTTAAAAGTGGATTTGATGATAATGCTTATGAACTGGCTCAGTCTAAGAATGTGGTTAACGATAAAGACCAAAATCTGTCTCAAACAAAAAGTGACTTCATAGAAAAAGACCAAGGACTGACCCAAGCCGATTTTTTATTCAATAACAGGGATCAAATACAAACAACACATGTATCTTATGACAAAGACAAACAGTTGACACAAATTGACTATGTATCCAATGACAATGATCATGAATTAGCTCCCATTAAAAAAGTATTTAACTATAAGGAACAGGAACTTGCACAAACTGAAAGTGAAATGAAAATAAATTACCAAACATTGGTCCATACAGATAGTATATCAAATCAAGAATTAACACACGATAAAAGTGCATTTACTGAAAGTGATTATGCATTTGTTCAAACCGAAAGTGTAGCTCATGATAAAGAACACAATTTGATCGAACCAGGAAGTTCCTTCAAAGAAAAAAACATAGGACTGACACAGTCCAAAAGTGTATATAATGACAAAGACCAAGAAATGGTCCAGAAAAAAGATGCTATAAATGATAAAGACCAAGGACTGGCACAAACTAAAAATGCATTTAGTGAAAATGACCAAGAACTGGCTAGGATAAAAAGTATATTAAACGATAAAAATCAAGTATTTACAGAAACTGAAACTTTATTAAACGACCATTACCAAGATTTAGCTGAAACAGATAATGTATTTTATGGCAAAGAATTGAAACAGGTTGAATCCATATTATATGACAAAGATCAAGGAATAAATGCATTTAATGATGAATATCAAATATTACCTGAAACGGAAAGTTTGGGAATTGAAAGCGACCAAGGATTGACCCAAGCAGAAAGTATGATTACTGATAAACACCAAGTACTAGCTCAAGCAGAAAATACAGCGTATGAAAAGAAACAAGAATTAAAACAATCTGAAAGTGAGAATGACAAAAATTTGTTACAGATTGGATTTTTTTTAAATAATAAAGATCAAAAACTGACACAAAGTGAAGATGAGTTTAATGACAAAGATCAAGGAGTGATACAAAGTGAAGAAGTATTTAGTCATAAAGACCAAGCATTGACACAAACTGATTGTGTATTTAATGATAAAGATCAAGGACTAACACAAAGTGAAAGAGTATTTAATGATACAGATAAAGGACTGACAAAAAGTAAAGGTACGTTTGAAGATAAAGATCAAGGATTGACACAAGGTGAATATGTATTTAATAATAAAGATCAAGGACTTACACACGATGAATATGTATTTAACGATAAAGATCAAGGACTTACACACGATAAATATATATTTAACGATAAAGATCAGGGATTGACACAAAGTGGAGTATTTAATGACAAAGATCAAGGACTGACACACGATGAATATGTATTTAACGATAAAGATCAAAGATTGACACATGATGAATATGTATTTAACGATAAAGATCAAGGATTGACACAAAGTGGAGTATTTAATGACAAAGATCAAGGACTGACACAAGGTAAAGATGTGTTTAATGATAAAGATCAAGGAATGGCACAAAGTGAAAGTGTATTTAATAATACAGATCAAGAACTGACACAAAGTGAAGGTGCTTTTAATTATAAAGGTCAAGGACTGGCACAAAGTGAAAATGTATTTAATGATAAAGGTCAAGCTCTGACACATAGTGAAGGTGCGTTTAATGAAAAAAATCAAGGACTGACAAAAGAAGGTGTATTTAATGATAAAGATCAAGGACTGACACAAAGTGAAGGTGCGTTTGATGATAAAGATCAAGGTCTGACACAAAGTGAAGATGCGTTTAATGTTAAAGGTCAAGGACTGGCACAAAGTGAAGATGTCTTTAATGATAAAAATCAAGAACTGATAGAAAGTGAAAGTGTGTATAATGATAAAGTTCAAGGACTAACCCAAAGTGAAGGTGTTTTTAACGATAAAGATCAAGGACTGACGCTAAGTGAAGCAGCTTTTAACGATAAACATCAAGGACTGACACAAGGTGAAGGTGCTTTTAACGATAAAGATCAAAGACTGACACAAAGTGAAGGAATAGTTAATGACAAAGATCAAGGAATGACACAAGGTGAAGATGTATTTGAGGATAAAGATCAAGGACTGACAAAAAGTGAAGGTGCGTTTAATGATAAAGATCGAGCTCTGACACATAGTGAAGGTGCGTTTAATGATAAAGACCAAGGACTGACACAAAGTGAAGGTGCGTTTCATGATACAGATCAAGGTCTGACACAAGGTGAAGATGTATTTAATGATAAAAATCAAGAACTGGAAGAAAGTGAAAGTGCGTTTAATTATATAAATCAAGGACTGACACAAAGTGAAGGTGCTTTTAACGATAAAGACCAAGGACTGACACAAGGCGAAGATGTATTTCATGATAAAGATCAAGGACTAACACAAAGCGAAGGTGTATTCAACGATAAACATCAAGGACTTATACAAAGTGAAACTGTATTTAATGATAACGATCAGGAACTGCCACAAAGTGAAGGTGCTAATATTGATAAAGGTCAAGGAATGACACAAAGTGGAGATGAATTTTGTGATAAAGATCAAGTTCTGACACAAAGTGAAGTTGCATTCAGTGATAAAGATCAATCTTTGACACAAGGTGAAGATGTATCTAATGATAAAGATCAAGGAATGGTACAAAGTGAAAGTGTATTTAATGATACAGATCAAGAACTGACACAAAGTGAAGGTGCTTTTGATTATAAAGGTCAAGAACTGGCACAAAGTGAAAGTGTGTTTAATGATGAAGATCAAGCTCTGACACATAGTGAAGGTGCGTTTAATGAAAAAAATCACAGTCTGACAAAAGAAGGTGTATGTAACGATAAAGATCAAGCTTTGACACAAAGTGAATATGTATTTAACGATAAAGATCAAGGATTGACACAAAGTGCAAATGAATTTTGTGATCAAGTTCTGACACAAAGTGAAGTTGCATTCAGTGATAAAGATCAAGCTTTGACACAAGGTGAATATGTATTTAACGATAAAGATCAAGGTCTGGCACAAAGTGAAGGTGTGTTTAATGATAAAGATCAAGGACTGACAAATGAAGGTGGATTTAATGATAAAGATCAAGGACTGACACAAAGTGAAGGTGTGTTTAATGATAAAGATCAAGGTCTGGCACAAAGTGAAGGTGTATTTATTGGTAATGATCAAGGGCTAACACAAAGTGAAGGTGTATTTAATAATAAAGATCAAGTTCTGACACAAAGTGAAGTTGTGTTCAGTGATAAAGATCAAGCTTTGACACAAAGTGAAGGTGCGTTTAATGATAAAGACCAAGGACTGACACAAAGTGAAGGTGCGTTTAATAATATAAATCAAGGACTGACACAAAGTGAAGGTGCTTTTAACGATAAAGACCAAGGACTGACACAAGGTGAAGATGTACTTAATGGCAAAGATCAAGGACTGGCACAAAATGAAGGTGTATTTAATAATAAAGATCAAGGACTGACACAAAGTGAAGATGTACTTAATGGCAAAGATCAAGGACTGGCACCAAATGAAGGTGTATTTAATAATAAAGGTCAAGGACTGACACAAAGTGAAGATGTACTTAATGGCAAAGATCAAGGACTGGCACCAAATGAAGATATATTTATTGATAAAGATCAAGAACTGACACAAAGTGAAGGAGTATTTAATGGTAATGATCAAGGGCTAACACAAAGTGAAGGTGTATTTAATAATAAAGATCAGGTTCTGACACAAAGTGAAGTTGTGTTCAGTGATAAAGATCAAGCTTTGACACAAAGTGAAGGAGTATTTAATGGTAAAGATCAACGAATGGCAAACAGTGAAAGTGTGTTTAATGATAAATATCAAGGACTTACACAAAGTGCAGATGTATTAAATGATCAAAATCAAGAACTGGAAGAAAGTGAAAGTGCGTTTAATTATAAAGGTCAAGGACTAACACAAAGCGAAGGTGCTTTTAACGATAAAGATCAAGAACTGACACAAAGTGAAGGAGTATTTAATGGCAACGATCAAGGACTGGCACAAATTGAAAGTGTATTTAATGATAAAGATAAAAAACTGGAAGAAAGTGAAAGTGCTTTTAATGATAACGATCAAGGACTAACACAAGGCGAAGGTGCTTTTAACGATAAAGATCAAGCTTTGACACAAAGTGAAGGTGCGTTTAATGATAAAGTTCAAGGACTGACAAATGAAGGTGTATTTAATGATAAAGATCAAGAACTGACACAAAGTGAAGGTGCGTTTAATGATAAAGATCAAGGTCTGGCACAAAGTAAAGGTGTATTTAATGATAAAGATCAAGGGCTGACACAAAATATAAGTGAAGCTGATGATAATGATCAAGGACCGACACGAAGTGAAAGTGCATTTAATGAGAAAGATCATGGCTTAGTTCAAATGGAAAGCACAGCATATGATAACGACCGAGAAATATTACCATTTAAAAAATTATTTAATAATAGAGACCAGGATCTGGACCACACAGAAAGTCTGTCATGTAACGACCAACAATTAAGACAAGTAGAAACTGTAGTTATTGATAAAGATCCAAGATTGTTTCAGATAGAGAATGCATTGCATGATAAGGACCACGAATTAATAATAATTGAAAATGTTTCTAATGAGAATATACAAGAACTGGTTCACACAGAAATTGAATTATTCGTTAACAAACAAGAATTTGCAGAAACTGAAATCGTACTTCATGAAATTGACCAAGAGGTGACCCAAATAAAAAGTTCATTTTGTGACAAAGAATTGAAACAAGAAGGAAGTGCTTGTAGGGATCAAAACCTCAGATTATTTCATCCAGAAAATACGGTTCATGAGAAAATTCAAGATCTTTCTGAGATACAAAATGTTACAATTGAAAATGACAGAGAATTCTCTCATGTAGAAAATGTATTATACGCGAACGACCAAGAATTAAAACATGATGAAAGTATACCTCACGAGAATGACCGAAGATCGATTCACACAGAAAATCTGTTGCTGAATAAAGACCAAAGAATACAAAAAGCTGATAAAGTAATGTATGTTACAGATGAAGGATTAGCCCAGACAGAAAATGTATCATGCAATAAAGAACAATGGGTGACACAAGATCATGGAGTATACAGTGATAATGAGAAAAAACTGGACCAGACAAAAAAAGAGTTATTTGATAAAGAACGAGTATTTGTTCAAGCTGGTATTGTATTAAATGAAAAATGCCAAGAATTTATTCAGGCAGAAAAAGCAACTTATGACAAAGACACAACACTGGTACAAGCTGGAAATATACCTTATAATAATGGTCGTAGCTTTATACAAACAGAAAGCACATCTGATGATAAAAATCAGACTGTGCCAACTGCTCAATACCATGAGCTGATTCAATCGTTAAATGAAAATGGCCAAAAATTGTGTCAGGCAGGTTTATCCCATGAAGAAAAGCTAGAATTAGCACAAACTGAAAGAACGTATATGTTTAACGATAGGGACTACGGACTATCTGAAGCAGAAAGTGTTTTTCATGAAAATGATCAAGTAATACCTAAAAGTGAAAATACACATTTGTCAAGCGATAAAGATCAACGACTTCTCCCAAAAGAAAATATACTAACTTATAACGAAAATAAAGTAGTCGAGAAGGAAAACTTAATCATTGACAAAGACTTTGAGTTTGTTGCAAGCGAAGAATATTCTGGAAGAACTTTCAGTCATAAAGATCAGGGCTTGCTTCAGACTGAAAGTGTTTTGAATGACAAAGTACTGGATAAAGGTGATATGGTAGATGAAGGCAAACTCAATGACACAGAGCAAATGGTAGCTGAAACAGAGAATATTAACAACGATAGTTTAGAAAGATTTGCATACACTGAAAGTCTGTCAAGTATTAAAGTGGTGCACTCAGAAAAAGAATTCAATGATAAAGACCAAGGTCTGGTTCATGCCGAAAATGTACTCAGTGATACAGATGTATTGATGCAAATTAGTGGAAATATTGAATATACATTAAATGCAACATCGACAAAGTCTCATCACACTCCACAAACTACTAGTAAAGGTGTTCTAGCATTGAAGAATCTTCATGATGATGATGAACAGAATTTTGGGATTCCTCATTTGGAACCATTACGAGCACATACAGAACTATCACTTATCTCAGAGGACTTCGGTCACTATAAAATAAAAAAATTAGAAGAAGATCACGTATTAGACAAACTTGCATCTATTCAGGTGAATGAACAAAAATTGCAGAATCTGCATGATTATGATGAACATGGGTTGGAAATGTCAACTAACAGAGAACCAGTTTTTGATGAATTGGATCAAATGACAGATCAACAAGTACAAAAACCGTGTACAGAAGTTAAGTGTCTCCTTAATAAAGTAGCATCCTATACTATACGAAACACAAACAAATGTTTCAATGAAAATTTAGACGCAGAAGTGCTCTTTGAAAATAAAATGGATGGCGCAAAGAAGCTTGAAAAAGTTGTTAATATGGACACTGTTGATAAATGTCCTTCTAACCAAGGAGATATTTGTGGTTATCAACCAGAACAAGAGGGATTACCAGCAGAAGTACTTAAAACAACAGAAACTATCGAGAAAAATGTTTCTGATACCGAACTTTCTGGTAAAAAAATAAAAGAAATAGAGGAACATGAAAAGGTATTTACTGGGAAACAAAGAAAACATCATACTGAAGTTATTACCCAGGTCATCGCTCGGGCAGCTAATGACGATAACTTTGATGTAAATGGTCAGGAACGACAACAAAGTCACGAAAAGGAAAAAATGTTGGAATTTAATGCTACAAGACATCTTTTTTCTCATGAGAAAAGTCTAAAAGAGAAAGACAAACAATTAACCCCCTCTCTTGGCGATTTCAAATACACTTATGATGAAAACGCAAAAGAAAAGCTCACAAACCAAACTTTTAACCATCAAACTAATAATGAATTTGATGTTGATTTTTATAAGACTGGAACGGTAGCTTTAGAAAACACGGATAATCAGTTTTTATCTTTGGTTGTTAATGATGAAAATATCATTAGAAATGAAGCTGGTAAAATTTCGTATTTAGAATCTCAAGAAAAGCAAGAAAGACCCGATGATTTAAAACATCATGAAAAGATTGTACACAAAAACGAGCTAGGAGAAGAGAAAACCCAAGAGCTTCCAGAAGATAATATACACCTTTCTGGAAGTCATCCAGGAATAAAATCAGAACCACACACTTCGGAAAAGGACTACTCAACATCTGAAACTCTAGATGCCGTAAGTGATGATATCTTACCAGAAGATGGTACTCCATGTGGTGAAACAGAAAAATTTATCAGTCATTGTTTTGGGGAAGGTTTACCTGATAATTTCCAAGAGACTAAAGAGGTAGATACTGCGCCCTTTGAAAATGATTTAGTTCCTCTTTATTCTACAAATGAAAATGAAGTATATTTTCCAGAGCATTATCTGTGCAAAGGAGAAAATATAATCCAGGATTTAAAACACCAAATTTATGATGAAGAAGAACAGGATGAAATCCGATGCTCAACTACTTTGGATGGTCAAAATAGTTATGATATGCGGCCTTCTACTGGTTCAGAGGGTGAAAACGGCGAATCAGATATACATATTCTGGATCCAAATATTACCATACAATCTTCTTCACTATGCGAAGAACTCATTGCTCAATGTGCTAAACAAAAATACGATTATGAAAAATCAAAAAGTCCTTTTGTGGAGGAGGTAGCTTATGAAAGTACATCAAAAGCATATTATTCAGAACTGATGGGAAAACTTTCAGAAAGCACCATTCTTTCTGTTCCAAACTTTTCTCAAGATTTCCAACAGCAAGTATCTAACAACACACAAACAGATTACAGCGATTTTCAAGAAAACCACTTTGAGTCTTTCAAAGATTCAAGAAACACAGATACAGAAACAAAAAAATATATACAAACTACTTCTTGCCAACTTCCTAATTCAGGACAATGTGATACGGAGCACACTCCAATAAACTCGAACCTGCAATCATGTATATATTCCAAAGACATTTCACATAGAACGAATCTAGATAGGCAAACAGTAGACCTTCGTGGGGCGCACAGTAATGAAGAAAATATTAAGGTCGATTTTCCTGAAGAAGGTTGTGTGTATAAACAGAATGAGGGTTTTTTTTCGTTATCGTACTCCGAAAACAATTGTGACGAATCGAAAACTGAAGAAGAAAATTTACAAATAAATAGTACAGATATGATACAGCAAGATTTATCCATGGATAACAATTATTTATCAGTGAACTCATTAAAAGAATTTCCTGCTAGCGTCTCAGAGGAACTTATCGTAAACAGTATACAATCATCTTATTCCAGTGAAGAAAGTAGTAAGGGTTGGGATAAAGCTGGTGATTCAAACATGATTAAAAATTTAAATGCAGAAGTGTGTGAACAGACAAGCAAGGGACAGGTGGACTTAGCTTACTTATCAAATATGTATTCTTCAAATACATATAGTTGGAAATCTGACAATATCCCTGATGATCATATGTTTTCATCATTATCAGTTCCTCAAGACCAAACTAATAAAGGTGATCTCCAAGTGAAAGGAAACGAATCAGTATGTCCCATGAGGCGAAAAGATTCCTTTTCTTCTACCTGTTTATCTGAAGGTGACGGCAGCGCATGTGATGGAGGACAAGCTACCGATTATATTAACAACAGCAAGAGCTTTCACCCAGAAGACGAATTAGGAACAGTCAACTTAGACGATGAACATCATTTTGTGATAAACCAGCGTCAATCAGATTTCAATAATATTTCAAAATCATTAGTACGTGACATTCCGTCAAGTGAACAAGAATTTCTGAGGGATGAAACTGTAACGACGATCCACACTCAGTCTTCGCCGTTTGATAAAAGGGATGAAGACTTTCAGTTAGACGACTGGGATAAGCCAATGGGTTTACCAACTCCTCCGGATTCTCAAGACATTTCTAATCGCAGTAAAACTGCATCTAAAACAGATACCAAAGATCCATCGAAAACTCCTTCTAAAACTGCTTCAAACCACAGTGTCAGTAAAGGGTTACTCAATGGAAAGAGTGCTTCTAAAGCCACTAAAAAGTCTGTATCTTCTAGAAGTGTTAAGAAAACTTCTGCAGGGAAATGTAAGAATTTGGTTTCTAATGACCAGGCAGCTCCAATTTATGTAGATCTGACCTATGTACCAAACCATGGAGATCCGAATTACTGTGATGTGGAATTTTTCAGAAGAATACGAGCACGTTACTATGTGTTTAGCGGCACCAACCCATCAAAAACAGCTTTTGATGCTCTATTGGAAGCCAAGAAAGATTGGGAAGATAAAGACGCTGTTGTGACTATCATCCCAACATATGAAACTGATACTCTTGGTTATTGGATAGCATTAAATCAAGATATTTTGATGGCTAATAAAATTGAAGTTTCTCCATCGGTCAACAGATGTACCATTAATCTTCAAGACCACGAAACGAGTTGCTCCGCTTACCGACTGGAGTTTTAAAGATTTAACGTTGATTACTTTTCGTTTTTAGTTCCTGTTGGACTTATTAATAAAATATCAAATGTTATTTTGATAATTAAGTTTAAAGTTATAAATCCTTGATAAACATCAATAAGCTACGTGGAAGAAAATTTGATACTAGCTAACTGACTTAACATACTGTTGAGCCATCTATGTAATAAGGTTATTGGAGATTGTAGTTGTTTGTTTATTTTTATATTTTAACTTAAAGGTGGTTTATTATATGTATATTACCGATTCCGTGTTCTTGTTTTTTAAGCTACAAACTAAATTAATTACTAGTATCGGTTGCAGTTATCTTATTCTTTGAATATTTAATATATAACAAGAGATGAAGTTATTTTTAGGCGTATGGAAAGACGGGTGAAATATTTAACTACCCGGGAGACATTTTGTCACATATATTTTGCTTAATTCTGCTGTTTGTAGAAATATTTTGTTTTGTTTTTTTCTAATGTGAACTGTTCAACTCCAGTTCGGTATCTAGTAAGTTTGGTATGTGCGTAAGAAAAGTTCGTTATTTGCCGAGAAAGAACTTTCATTTGATTTACTAAAAATATATTGATATTAAACTAAAGCGATAATCCTACCATAAAAACGTTAATAATTATTACAAGGCTTTTCTACTATCTGTAAAATTAATAACTTTTTACTATTGTTAGTCAATCTATCTTTAAAACTAACAACAATAACAAATAATAATCCATATGATGCTGCGTTAAAATGCCTTGGGTGGAAATTACATTTTTTGTGATTATCTTATGTTTTTCCTTTTATATAGCATAGGTTCTTATTAATTGATACGAAAAGTGAAATGTTAAGATATTTGTAAAGCTACAATAAGGTAAACTATTACTTTAAGTTCATATGTATGCAAAGCATTACGGCGATTTTTAATTCGGCATCCATAGCAAATAATTTACAGAAACGTGTTAAGAAGTCAAATTTTTTTTGCTTCATCATGTTGAACGAGGTCTACCTATTATCTATTTTAAGACATACATTATATAGAGAATAAAATTTGCGACAGTAGCGTAGCTATTTTGACTTTTCAAACAAAGGTGATATTCTAGAACAAGTATAATTCATATACTGTTGTCAGAAGTGAAACGTATCTCCATATATACAGTACCACAACTTCACGTTATCTCAAGTAGAGTCTTCCGTCAAACTTTAAGAGGTTTATTACCTAAAAGCTATACAATGTTTTTAAATTATGTCGTTGAATTCTTCCAATGGATATGAAGTATACTTTTATCATTATGTTAAATATTTTATATTTGAATTGAATGTTATTGTTCTTTGAACTGATATAATTACAGAAGAGCATGCATATGATTCTGATGAAGTGTTAATTTAGTTTAAATTTTCAAGTTACTCAGGCTCGAGCACAAGTAAAACAAGATCGTATTGTAATATGACAATTAAAACAAAAACCCAAATAACAACATGATGCACAGAAATTAGAGAATTTACAGGTTATTTTTATCCAATATAGAAAAATGTTCATTGTTAAAATAGCAACGTTTAGTTTATTAGTAAAACGAAATTAAATAAAATTGCACATTTTGAGATATGAACTACGTGATTTCTTAAAATATGTTATTTTCAAATTCATACAAAACGATTCAAACAATCAAGAATAAGATGGATAGGGGAATGCCATTTTTAACTTACATATATGGTTAGTTGATCATACTGGTTTATCATTTTTGATATTTTTTCAAAATTGGAAGTATACCCCCCCCCCTGGGAGAGTAACATTCGTTTGCTGAGTAGAGAGTAAACCTATGTAAATAGGAGTCCAGTCACACATGAGAGGACTTAATTTAATTTGGACTGAGTCAAATCCTTTTTTTACTGGGTCTTCAACAACAGGTTAAAATACTACGTTTAAATTCCAAGAGATTATGAAGCGTAAACAGCTACAAACTTAGCTAAAAATTCCAATTATATAATCAATCATCAATGTTTATATATTTCTCGTGTTAGTTTAGATTGCTTTGATATCACCAATCGTAATGTTTGTTTTTATCTAAATTTTTACATGTTCAAAGTATAAAGAAAAACGTTACATCAAAGTGCTTTAATGCTGAAAATATACAGTTGTGTTTATTATTGATCCATGTTATTTGAGTAGTTATAACTTATTATACGGTCAAGCCTCAAGAAAAAGTGTGCCTTGCCGAATTTATCTTGCGAACTGAAACCATTATCGTTAGTTTATGCAGTTGCACTATTTCATTTATCTGTTTGTTAAGTATTTGTAAAACTAAAATGTGTCTTGTCAACTGTATGTCGTTGAATTTATGCAAATTTCTAGGAATAACAATACTTTGCCCCATTAACTTAGTAACCTATATATATTTTCCAATATATAGATGACACAAATTTTCAAATGCATTTTGTAAGTGATTATGATCTGTTTGTTCGAGAGGCTTTTATTGTAAATCGTAACTTTTTTTGCTATGATGTTGATTTATTTGGATGGCTTAACAAAATTTTGCTGTTTTTTTGCACCTTAAATTTGTACCATTTATTTGGTTTGACCTTGCCATTGCAATCGATGAATGTTATTTTATATTTAACAATTTATATGTTTCACTTATGTTTCCCACTATGAAGTTGTTGGTATAAACTTTGAGCTCAAGATATGCACACTTATTTGGAAAAATTTTTAATTGTTTAAAATACTTTTAAAATATTTATTTTATTCGAGAATTTGAAAATTTGTCGTAGCTAACTTATCAATAATATATATATATATATATACAGATTTTCAAATAAAATAAACATTCAATAATTTGCAATAAAAATTATCTTTAGATAACAACTGCCCAATATTAGGCATACGTTGAATTCTCAGCCTTTCGAAAGTGCTTTGTTCAACTAATACAAGTAACAAATTGTAGAGTTACTTTAGCAGTTTCTAAGTTGTTGTGTTTAAAGCAAGTTGTAACACTGAATCAATTCACTTGTCACCGCTTTATCCATGCAAACACTCAATAATGTCAATAAATTATGCTTTGCCTGAAAATTGTGTTGTCTTATTTTTGAGTATTTAATTATTAATAAAAAAAAGTGTAAACAAATTGTTGTATATCTCCTTAATAAGTTTAAGCACGCAATACTGTAATTATCTTTTTTTTCTTCAAATAATTTAATTGAGCCTCATATTTTAAAGTACCAAGAAAATGTCTTATCAACTTCAATGTGCTTTCATACGTTCAATCCAAAGACATAACTATGTTACACAATTTTGGTGTATAAACAGTTATACCAAGGGTATCTTATTTCGGAAACGATTAAGTTTTATCAGATAAAACAACTGATTTCAAAATTAGTTGTACATTTCTTACTGGTGTGTAAAACATTAACTGTAACTACAATAAAAATCTAAAAATTTAAAGCAAACAAGTTATTGTACTTGGCCTACTTGTTCATTGTTGGTCGTAGAATTCAATGAGAAAAAGCCATGGATAAAAAATTATCTACTTGTATTCTCACCGAACTGCTTTTCATCTCACGCTTCAACAAGAACTGTTTGATTAGTCATTCACTAATAATTTTGAAGGTTTTGTTTGTGTAGTGTCGCAATGAGTAATTTGTACAGTGTGAGAAATGGCTTAAATCATCTGAACATAAAAAGAGTTTGCTTTGTATCCTTTTAACAATGTTGCGTATATGCAGACTTCAAGTGATTCAAAGAAATATTGTTAATAAATAGCCATGGCACAGATTAACAATATATAACTTGATACTTTATATTGGTTTGACTTATTAAGTTTGCGTAAAATTAACTAAAACAATATTTTATAATCAAAGCGTATCTTAACATTATTTGAAGCAAAGTAGAAAAGTTATAAACCTTTTATCGAAAGCATCTTAGAAAAAGAAGTTCATCCACAATAAAAACATAAATAATAAAGCACTTGATATTTAAGAAATTATAAACAGAACAATATACGTCGATAAAGAGTTTCATTTAACATTGACTTATTGTATTTTAATCAATAGCAGCTTACAAGGAATATGGGTTTAAAGTTTACTTTCGTGTCAATTACCTCTTATCAGTCCCCTGGTGATAAGAAACGGAGAAATATTTTCGAGATCCGTAGAGAGATGTTTAACAGCAAAATTAAAAAATGAAACGAAAATATCTAAATAACAAGTAAAAATATTTAAATTTTTAATCACTCTTTCGGTTTAAGCCCAGAACCAACTGGCTGCATTCGTACGCATATTTTGGTTTATGCCTAGAACTAGCAGGCTGCGTCTCCATGCACGTTTTGGTTTAGGCCCAGAACTAACTGGTTGCATCTCTACGCAAGTTTTGGCTAAGGCCCAGAATTAGACGACTGCGTCTCTATGTATGTTTTAGTTTAAGCCCAGAACTAGACGACTGTTTTGGGATACTTAATTTGACATAAAGTTAACTAGACAAAAATAACATGTATTCTGAATTCAAATTCGATGACGAGGAACCCACTTTGAGACTAATAATGGCTGGAGACGAATGGGTAATGAAGAAAAACTTTAATATAAGTTTAACATAACAGCAAATGTACAACGTTTCGACAAGGTTTTGTCGGTACCTGATGATGACAAAACCTTGTCGAAACGTTGTACATTAGCTGTTATGTTAAACTTATATTAAAGTTTTTCTTCATTACCCATTTAAGCCGTCTCCAGCCATTATTAAATGTCTACTAACTTCCTCATGTATTACTGGTACCTTCATAAAATGTCTACTGACTCT